CTGCGTGCCGTGTCCCGTGGCAGCTGCAGCTCTGCCTGCGATCAGGGCCAGAGCAGACTCCACCTCCAGGCTCTCGAGATCCAAGAGCCAAGCCAGAAAGTCTCAAACTAGCCATTTGGCAAAGTGCTGACACCAGATGAGTCGATTCTATGGGAGAATATAAATAGAGGGGAAAGCAGCAGCCATGCTATAACATCGCCCTCCTGTGAGCAAAAACAGACACATCAAGTTGCCGGAGCTGCTGGCCCAGCCTGCCCTGCGGCAGACCCAGAGCCGTGCGGTCACCCAGAGGGCTCCATGGCCACGTACCAGCTCTTCCTCTCCCATCCGGCAGGCGGAGGGGCCCGGTGAGGAGAGAGACATCACCGTGCCATGAGCTCCCCAAACGTACAGGGCCCTGCATGCACACGCAAGTCAGGACAGCTGTGTGAACACATGTGCATGAACATGCGTGTGCGTGCACACTCACACACACAGTATACCCACAAATACACAGACGTGTCATACGCACAGACACAAAAACACACAGGCACACACAGACACATGGATCACACGCCATGCAAACGTGCACATTATACACACATGCTCTCACCCGAGTACAGCCCTAGCATCTGCTTGTCAAGCATTTCTGCACACATGGCCTTGCGTGACCTGCACAAGGACCCCATGGGTTTACGTGGGACAGTGCACCCACTGTGCAGATGGACCCCTCTGGTGGATCAGAGCCTTCGGGGGTCCCACCAGTGGCCAGTGCCACCCCGTGCCCAGAGACGCCTCCCTCTACTGTGCTTCGGAACAGCTGTGTGATGAGGATTACGGAAGCACTGTGACTTGTCCGTTTGCAAACACACCACTCGAAAGGGGACTTGCGGTCATGTCCTGCACTCACGGGGTGCTCACTGCAGGTCAGGCGCTCCACGGAGCAATTTGCGGGTATCGCCACGATGAACCTTCACAGCCACCCCTCAAATTGAGAAATGCGACCCTCCCGTTTACAGGAGGGAAAACTGCAGCGCGGAGACTTGTCCCAGCCCAGCCGGCCCGAAAGCCTCGCAGATGCGGCGAAATAAAGTCTGCACATTACGTGCTGCGACTGCCCATGCTACCCCGGGGCTCAGCAGCTGGTTGTCAAGGAATGTCCCCTCCCACATCTGACCACCTGACATCCCGCACAGGTACCCCAAATTGTCACCAGAAGCCCTGCATCCCTAGCCGAGGCTGTCTGTCACCTGTCCTCGGGGCTGTGCAGACCACCCTCGCTGTGCCAGGGGGCCCTCCCGCCCCAGTGCAGGGAAGTGGGAGGAGTGGGGCAGAGAAGGGGTTAATGAAGCGCCCAGCACCCACCCCTGGCTTCCCCTGGGGGCACTTGCGTTCTCCTAGCAAGGGGCTCTGGGGGCAAACGGGTACTGGGGCGCCGGCAGCCAGCCGTGTTAACGAGGGGCTTTCCAGGCAGGGGAAGTGGCCCGGGAGAACTCTGGGACAGGGGTTGGAGTGTCCTGCCAGGAGGGAGGGACGAAGGGCGAGATTAAAACCAGAGGTGGACGAGGGCCAGCTAAGGAGACTCCTTTCTGCAACAAAAGGAGGGGAAAGCCAGTGCACTGTCAGCGTGTCCTATACGGGCCACAGTGTCTGCCTGTCAGACTGGGTGCCTGGGAGAGAATGAGGGGTCCCCCCCACCCCCGTGAACCTCTGTCTCCCCATAGCCCTCAGGCCCCGAGGACGCCTGCAGAGGCCTCTTTAGCTAAGAGGAGGGGACTGTGGCCAATCAGGTCCCTCCTCTAGAAGGCACTGGAGTAAAAAAAATTAAAATAAAAAAATAACGGGGAGGGAGGGAAGGAAGGAAGGGGCAAGGAGGGAGGGTAGAAAGGAGCCTGGACTCCCTGTTGGCCAAATGGAACACCTCCCTCAGGGCCTGTTCAGACTGGGCCCAGGCCGGGACTGCGCTCAGGGCACGGGGCCTCTCCCTGGGGACGGGATAAACGGACGTGAAACGAGAAGATAAAACTGCAACAAGGCTGAGTGGTGTGCCAGGCAGGAGGGTAGACAGACCTGCCCGGGGTCCCTCGGTCCCCACCAGGCCTGTGTGAGGACCCAGCGAGAAGATGTGGCCGGTGCTCAACACGGCCGGGCAAGTGCCAGAAAACCCATCCCATATGTCACTGTCTCCAAAGGCTCTTCCCAGAGCCATGTGACGTGACAGGGAGGGACAGATCCCGAGAGGCTCCTGAGTGGGTGTCCTCGGGGGAGTGGGGGGCTCATCCTTGGCCTCCGGGGGCTGCTCTCTGTCACTGTTAGCAAGTGGGGTGCAGGGTCTGCTCCCCACACCCCCTGCTCCAGCCCACAAAGTCTCTACCCCAGGAGGCCGGGACGGGGCGGTCCGGGCAGGAGACGGGCCAGACAGCTGGGAGGCAGGGACCAGGCTGGCATCAGCTGTGCTCCGCTAAGGGCGTGGCGGTGGGGAGAGTCCAGAAATATCTGAAGGGTGGGGTGAAGGGGCCGGCTCTGGCCAGCACCCCAGAAACAGCCTGGGAGCAGCATCTCTGTAGGAGAGACAGAGAGCCTGGCACCAGAAGGACTCTCCTGCCCCGGGCCACTGTTGGGTGGTCCCAGCCCTGCCCCGAACCACAACTCCGAGCCCTCGGGCCACTGAGATCTGGACCAGAGGAGGGAGGGGGCTCCAGGGCTGGGGGAGTCACCCGGCTTCTGACCCCTCCCACCTCTGTTCTTTCATGGGGAGCAGGAGGGAGGGGGAGAGGATGGAAAAGGATGTCTTTCCAGCCAACTTGATTGAGTCAGAGGAAATTTAACCATTTGCTATCTGTCAAGTCTCACAGAACTTGGCCGACTCACCCACAAATTATTGCAAAAAGCGGTCACGTGACCGTAGTCTACCAATGGGGTGCCAAGGAGATGACCTCAATTTCCAAATATTGGGGTCATGTTTCATTTCCCATACTCTCCTTCCCCGTTACAACGTTAAGCAGCCCCAAATGCAATCTTACTTTTCATTCCTTCACACACTTGGCCTAGAAGAAGGTAGGAAAAAGAGCCATGTTCAGAGAAAACTCGGAAAACATCTGGCAAGTCCCAAGATGGAGAGGAGAAAAGGCCGGCGCCGGGGACCCCCCCCTCGCCTGCATCTGCAGAGGATGACTTCCAAGCCGTCCCACCCTGGCTGGTGGAGAGGGGTTTGCAGACCCCACCAGGAAAAGCGGCTTCTTCACGGGCTTCTAGACGTCTGTTTTGAGAAAGACAAAATGTCCAACTGCACAGCCAGCTGCCCGGTGCCATCCTGGCAGCTCCACAGATGGGGGGAGGGGGGAGGAGGCGGGGGAGGGACGAACGCAGGGTCCCCCAGCTGCACCGCCAGCCCCGGCCTTCTGGGTGACGATTCCCCTGCAGGATTCCCTTCCAAGCCCCTGGGGATAACCCCACGGGGGCACTGAGACAAAGCCAAGTCCCCAGGCAATGGCGTGGTCCCCTGACCACATCCTCCTCCTCCTCCTCCTCTCCACCCCACTCTTTTGTGAACCTCTATTGTCCCCCACCTTCAACTAACCCCTGGGGAAACGCAAGGCCAGTTAGCCCAGGGTCCCTGGAGAGTTGGTGGCAGCCCCGGATAAGACCCAGGTCCTGGGAGCCCAGTCGGGCTCCTCACTCCTCCCCGGCAGCCCGGAGCAGCCCCACACCCGGACTCCTCAGGCACACCAGCCCAGCGAGCAGTGACCGTGCCAGGAAAAAAGGAAAGGAATCGTTTAATTGGCAAGTGGGACGCAGAATGATTCTCGCTTGTCTTCCCATCGCAAAGTAGGGAAAGCAGCCTGCTCCCTGGGGGACAGCTAGCTGGCCCAGCTGGCCACGGAGCCCGCTGTCCCTTCTCTTGGAACCAGCTCTGAGCCTTCGTCTCCTCACCTGCCCGTGGGGAGTCAGGGCACCTTCCAGGGCTTTGGGCTCTGATGTCTGAGGGTCTGTGAAGATCCACCCCAGAGCGGCCCCCGAAGGTGACACCTGGGAAAACACACCCCAGGCAGGTAGCTGTGCCACAGAGCCCGAACTGCGGTGAGAACCCAGGCAGGGCACAGCAGTCAGCACCCGCCTGGCGGAACACCCCCCCTCCCCCAGGAAGGAGCGCTCCTTCCAAGGGCTGACCCCTGGCAGAAGGAATCCCACATCTGCATGTCATCCGGACCACTCACAGCCCTGCCTCCAAGACCAGCTCCTGGCTCTGCTCCAGGCATACAATCTCTGCGCAGGGAACCTAAGAAAAGCTGCCTCCCTGGGTACAGGAGGTCTGGGGCTGTGGGATTGGGAGCAGGGCTGGTCTGCCACCCTGCAAGGCTCCCAGCGCTACTGAGCACTCAGGTGGCCAGGACTGCGAGAAACCCTGGCCCCAGGGAGAGCAGGGAGCCAGCCCAGCCTAGAGGGAGAGCACGCCTGGGGCAAGTCCGGCGCTGGGGGCCGAAGCTTTAGGGATTCCCCCCACCCCGGGAGCCCTGCAGGACGAGTCCAGATTTGAGGACGGTGACTCTAGGGGGCGGCCCTGTCCGGCTTTCAGCAGAGGAAGTTCTGCTGTGGGCTGTGTGGGCAGAGCTGGGCGCCTGTGATGTGGGAGGGAGAACGCAAGGTTTCGGGACAAAAGTTTGCCCGCCTCGTGGACAACCCCTCTGGCCGGTCCAACTCGCAGCCCCACCCGGCCCGCGCGTTTGGGGGCTGTGGCGGCGCGTCTCCCCTCTGGGCCCCCAGCCAATGGCATTCGCTGTCTCGGCCGTGCATTCCACAGGCCAAGGGGGAAAGTTCGCAGGCGCGGAAGAGGCGGGCGAAAGCGCCAGGGATGACAGCGCGCCCGGGCCGCGCGCCCCGTCCAGCAGCCCCGCGCGCTCGCGCCCTTACCTGCGCGGCTCGGAGGCGGCGCCCACAGCAGCAGCAGCAGCAGCAGCAGCGGCAGCGGCGGGGGCAGCAGCGGGGCGCCCGGGCGGCGCGCTTTCCAGCGGGTGTGGACGTCCATGCCGGCGGGGCGCGGGCCGGGGCGCACGGGGACGCACGGGGGCACGGGGCTCGGCCCGGGCGGCGGACTCAGCAGGGACCGCGCCACTTCAGGAGGGCATGGGGAGCTCGGCGCCTGCCCGTTCTCCTTTGTGACGGCGGCTCTTCTGGAAGGGGCGGCTGGCGCGCTCGCCCACGGGCGGGAGGGCTCGATTCTGGCCCGCGGGGCGGCCGGGACCCCGCTTGGCTCGCTCACCCTCGCCTCCTCCTCCTCCTCCCGCAACTCCTTCTCGCCTCCTCCTCGCCGCCGCCGCCCCGCGACCCGCTCCCCGTGGGCGCTCCGCTCGAGTGAGGTCCTGCGCCAGCCGCGGGGACGAGGAGTGCGGACCTCGCCTTGGGCGCCGTGCACTTTTTTCCCCCTTTCCTCCCTCCCTCTCTCCTGGCAGGCAGCCGCGGAGGCTGTCGATCCCGGAGGCCCGCAGCAAATCAGAGCCCGGCGCTGCAGCTCGGCCCGGCCAGCCCCCGCCTCCCACTGGGCGCCGCGGGCGAGGGGTGGGGACAGCGGGCGAGTCGCGGCGAGGAAGGGGCTGGCCCGGGGCGGGAGCGGACGTGGGGCGGGCGCGGCGCCCCTGCTCCTTCTCCGAGCGGGCGGCGGCCGGGGCGGCCTTGGGGCGCAGCTGCCCACCCAGGTCCCCGTCTCTTCTCTCCCCAGGTGCCCGCACCTGGCCGAGCGCCAAGACCCAGTGCGGAGGGGCCGCAAAGTTTGATCTCTTCGAGTTCGAAAGAAAGAGCTGCGGCTCACCCCGCCTAACTTTTTCATTAACGGGGAGGAACTCAGAGCTCCTCTTCTGGGTGGAGACTAAACTTCCACTCCAGCCAGATCGGGGCGCCCAAGACTGTGGCGACGTGTCAACCCGGACAGAGGACCTTCCACCTCCCTCTTAACTGCAGATTGACACGGGACCCCAGTTAGGGTCTCCTGTCCCAAGAGGTCCCAAGCCTCCATGTACTTGGACACCCACCGAACATCTGGGTTATTAATCAGGCGAAGTTTGGCTCTGCTGTCCGGCCCTCCCCCAGACCCCTTCCCCTGGCTCCTGCCTACTCCCTGGTGGCCTCTCCGCAATAAAAAGGAAACCAAAGAAGACCTCCCCTCTGGGAGTTGACAGCTGGCTCAGCAGAGGGCATTCCTGATCTGCTGCCCGGGGGAGGAGCCGCCGCCTGCCCCTCCCGCCTGCGCTGCTTCCAGCCCTTCCAGGTCTCTATGGCAGGAGGCCTGCCCGGCCCTGGGTGCTGGGTGGGCGCCTCCCCCTCGGACTTCCCCAAGCCCAGGGGGCCTCTCCGCACTTCTTCCCGGAGGGCTGCAGGGTTGTTGTTACAAGGAGGAATGGAAGTGAATTAGGACGGCTTTTCCAACCCCAAGCCATCCCCATCCCCTTTGAGCAAACAATCCAGCCAGCAATGCCAGACAGGGCCGGGACTCCCCTCTCCAGTTACATCTCCAGACTGGGCGTGAAATTCCTCAAATGCCCTCGAATCCCCAACGTTCTGGAAACAGGAGACGAGGAAGGCAGGCAGAGGTTAAGTGTGCTGGGATGGCCCTGAGCCGGCCCCTGAGCGGGGTGGCAGGCAGGTCCCCGGAGCTCCCTAGTGGCTAAGCTTTCAGCCTCCGAACCTGCCACATGTGCTCCTGCAGGTGTTCGGTGTTGCACAGGACAAGAATGAGAAGGTCTGCGCGCACGACAGGGAGGGTGCCAAGCAAATGTTATATTTGGTTTTGAGATTTCTTTGTTATTTGATTATTTGATATTTGGTTTTGAGATTTCTTTGTTATTTGATTATTTTTTACAACTTGGAGAGATCATATATGTGATGGGGGAAATGTGTGTGTATGTGAGTTGAGAGCGTGTGTGCATATGTATATGTTGAGTGTGGGGGTGTGCACGTGTGAAAGAAGTGTGTGCATGTGTGTATGTGCATGTGCATGGGTGTGCATGTGCGTGCATGTATGTGTGCATGGTGAAGGGGTGCGTGTGTTGGATCAGCTGTGGCGCTGGGGCTTTTGCTCCCTGTGCCCCTCAGTGAGTGAGCAGTTCCATCTAACACTCCCTGAGCACCAGCCCACGTGGCCCCTGCAGTGTCCCCACACCCACCGGCAAAGAAGGCCAGCTGTCCCCTAAAGACAGGGGTGCTGACACAGGTCAGTGGCCTGATTATCTGGAGAGAGTGCAGACCCTCTGATCCCAGCCTTCGGAGTGTTGTCCTTTTCCCCAAAGACACCTGGTCTCCTTTTCCAACAGTCATGCGTGTGCATCAGTGCTGGTCAGCCAGCCCTCCGGACACCCGTAACTCAGAACCAGCGTCTGAACTTTGGCCTGGGTTAGCACAGCTAGTCCCTCAAGAGCTGAAAGCCAAGTGACCACCCCAAGATCTGACCTCCCAGCAACAATAAGAAGACACAGGCTTGCCACTCGGGATGCAGCAGCCGGGACAGAGGCATTTTATCCTCTCCTGGAGAGCAAGTGGCAGAGTGGCTTGCCTCCCGGAGGGGCTGTCTTCTTTGGTGTCCTCTGCATTGTGAGCAGCACCTCCCACGTCACGCCTGCACGTGCGACGGTAGGGCATGCTGTTGGCGTTTGTCCGTGCCAAACGGACAAACGTTTGGCGTTTCCCCGTGTCGGGGAAACTGGTGGTCACAGGGGGTAAGGAACTTCCCAAGGTACCGACTCATCCGTAGGAGAGTCCGGATTGGAACCCGGGTCTCCACTCTCATAGCCCAGCACACATGCTGCCTGTCTCCACACGTCATCTGGACCAGACACCTGCCCGCAGACCCTCCTGCCCGGACTCGGGCACCAGTGACTGGGGGAGGTTGTCCCAAATCCCACATCCCCCTGCGCCCTCCCACAGCAGATTAGACGGAGTGCTTGGAGAACTGTTTACTGCACAGGCTCCTCGCTCTAGGGAGTCTGCAGTGAGCCCGGCGCCTGAGCCCCTTGCACCCTGGCCTCACGGGCAGTGGCGTGACTCCAACGCCCGCGTGGGATGGCCCGTGGTGTGCACCTGTGTCTTCCTCTCTTCTCTAATTGATCCCACTTTCCTGTGCAGGCCCTCCCTGGGCACCGACTCCTGCGTGCGCTGGCCATGGGAGGGGCCGTCCTGCTCCAGGGCCCTCAGCCCCGCTGCCCACACCCTGTGTGTTTCCCATGGCACCTGCAGGGAGCGGGGCAGGCGGGTGTGCCCTGCACTTCGCTCCCAGGGGCTCCCTGCCCAACTTCCCTTCCATGCCCTGTTTCCTCTCATTTACTTCGTAAGCCATGATCTCCGAGAAGGCACCCCTGGCAGGCAGCAGGCGTTGCCCTCTCACGGAGCTGACGGCCCCCCACCCATCCTAAGGGGTCACACCAGCCTCCCCGAGTCACTGCCTGGCAGGAAATGGCCAGCCCCTCCCCAGGGCAAAGCGCTCGAGGGGCGGCCAGGGTCTCCCGCGCCTTCCCCCGGGCGAGAGCTCCAGCCCGGAGGAGGAGACGGAGGGAGCCAGGTAGCCCCTCTTTGTGGAGCGCCTGGACGCAGGTGTCTGCTTGCCCTCTGGGAGTTCATGGTCCACTGAGGCGGCCCGGGAGGGCCTGGCCGAGTGCCTGGAGCTGCCCATGCTGTCCCAAGCAGGGGACACCTTAGGGCACGAGTTCCCCCGCTGCTGCCCAAGGAGAAGCCCCCAAACCTGCATCCTGCACCGGTGGCCACAGCGGCAGCCTTCAGCTGGCGTCCTGGGACCCGGCCAACTCCGAGTCACACAGACTTCCACTAGCGTCCCAGTGGCCCAGGCACGAGCCATGCGACCTTGGGCAAGTGAGTTCCCCTCTCTGAGCCTCAGTTTGTTAGCTGTGAGCTGGGGACAAGGAAACTGACCTCTGGGGACCCCTGTGAAGCTTAGATGAGAAGACAGGGAGGAGGCCTGGCTGGGTGCTGGGTGCTGGGCGTCCCCTCCCCTCCCCTCTGCCTACATCCTGAAGCCAGGCGCTCTTCTGTCCCTGACCCTCCAAGACTTCTGTTCTCCCTCCAGGGCACGAATTTACCTGCATCATCTCACTCAGTCCAGCAGCAACCCTTTGGAATAGGAAGAAACGGAGGTTCAGGGAGGTCAAACTATTCACGCGAGGTTGCACAGCCAAGCCCAGACTGGATCCCAGATCTTCCTGACCCGGCCCTTAGCCACCGTGCGCCCCTGCGCCCCACAAGCAGCGTGGACCAGGGAGGACCTGAGGGCTGGCCAAGGCAGAGGGTGAGTCCTGCTGGCTGCAGAAGTCCCGACCCCATGCGCCCCGGTTTGCCTCTGACCCCTCGGCCTTGACCCAAGCAACGCAAGCTGCGGCTTCTCAGCAGAAAGGGGCCCTGCTCTGCCCACAGAGACCCGAGACTGTCCCTCTGTGCCAGGGTGTGGGGAAGAAGGGAGGGGGCCCCTTGAATCCCAGTGTCATCTCTGAACAGCTACGTGGAAAAGTGACCACGTTCAAGGCCTCGGACAAAGCGTGTCCCTTGTCACCTTGTTTTTGAGCATTCTTCGTCCTGTGTCCTCCCAGTGGAGGAGAGAGCAGGGGACCGAGGGCAGCTCCTGGGGTTGCCGGGCCCCCGTGCCTGAGTCGCCGGGCTGCCGTGACAAGGCGCTGCAGGCTGGGAGGCTTAAGCAACAGGAATTTATCCTTTCGCAGTCCTGGCGGCTGGAAGTCCAAGATCCAGGTGTGGGCAGGGCTGGGTCCACCTGAGGCCTCCCTCCCTGGCTCGTAGATGCCGCCTTCTCCTGTGTCCTCCCGTGGTCGTCCCTCTGTGGGTGTCTGTGCCTTACTCTCCTCTCTTACAAGGACACCGGCCAGATGGAGGACGGCCCACACTGATGCTCCCATTCTGACTTAAAAATCTCCTTGCAGGCCCTGTCTCCAAACGGTCACACTCCGGGGCTGAGGGGGCCATGGACTCCTGGGGGTGCGAGTCAGCCCGTTACATGCCCGCAATCCCCCCCTCGACGGCCTTCTGCAGAGACCCAGGGACTGAGGGGCCCTGCTTTCCGGGACAATAGGGGGTTTAGCTACCTAAGGCCCCTCCTGCTGCGTGGGGGCAGGGGGCAGGGGGTGGTGACCTGGTCCAGCAGGAGGGACCTCCGACTGAATGTGCTGCCACTCTGGCCACTTGTCCCCTTTAGCACATGTCACTGAGCCTCTCCTCAGTGGCACTGTCCACCCGGGGGTGAGAGCGGGGCTGTGGGGAGGCCCCAGAGCGCAGGTTCAGACACATCCACCTCTTCCAAAAGGCTCCCAGCCCGATCCAGAGCCTCCCTCTCTTCCTCCTTCCCCACAACTTGCCTGTCCTTTTCTGTGAATGGGGTGGGCCCCGGGCAGCAACGGGAGCACCCTCTTAGCTGGAGGCGGAGGGGCACAGGTGAATAAATTGGAGGCTTTGTGACAAGTGTTTCTGAGAGCAGGTGTGCACGAAGGCAGGTGTGCACAGGGCCAGGTGTGTAGGGAAGCAGGTGTGCACAAGGGCAGGTGTGCACAGGGGCAGGTGTGCATGGGGGCAGATGTGTACAGGAGCAGGTGTGCACAGGGGCAGGTGTGCACCAGGCCAGGTGTGCACAGGGGCAGGTATGCATGGGAGCAGGTGTGTATAGGGGCAGGTGTGCACAGGGGCAGGTGTGCACAGGGGCAGGTATGCATGGGGCCAGGTGTGCACAGGGGCAGGTGTGTATAGGGGCAGGTGTGTAAGGGAGCAGGTATGCACAAGGGCAGGTGTGCACAGGGGCAGGTGTGCATGGGGGCAGGTGTGTACAGGAGCAGGTGTGCACAGGGGCAGGTGTGCACCAGGCCAGGTGTGCACAGGGGCACACAGTCAAGCATTGTCAGTGGGAAACAGGCCTTGGGACCCTGCGTGGTCCGGTCTGTGTTCCCTCTGCCTCTGGAGAAGCAGCCGCAGGTCCGACATCGGCCCCACCTGAAGTCCGTGCACCATCAAGACACAACAGTGAGTGAGACTGAGTGAAGCCAGCTAGGAAGGGCCCCGGGCCCTAGTCCTAGAGTTCACACTGAACCCCAGGGCCCACGGTTCCGTCTACACTGCTGTGGGCTTAGCTAAAATGGTTTGTGCATGGACCCCTCCCGTGTGCCTAAACCTCCACCGGGCTAGTGGGAGTTACGGATTTCAGGGGGCTGACTTCAAGGGGACTTAGGAAGTGAAGGCTTCTTCCTTCCCCTGACCCCAGCCTCCCCGATCCCAGAGTGGAGCAAACACTCTCTTCCCCTCACAGAGCTCCCAGCCAGGACTCCACGGCGCCGGGCCCCAGCCCAGTCAGTGGCACCCACACCAGCAAGACCAAACCTACACATCTAAC